AGCAGGAGATATTGCACAAGTTTGCACAGTCAGACAGAATTTTTCTGAGTGAGAGCCAGAAAATAGAGCTGTCGGCTTGGCAGCACGTGGAGCCTGCGTGTCCCTCTCCTTCCTTCTTACTGACCTGTTGGGGTTGGATTGAAAAAAACAAGCACAAAAGGGCAAAGCTCCCTCCTTGTCTATAAGGCACACAGGGATTCACTTAGGCACCTTCCTATCCAGTTACCTATATGTTTGGCTATAGTTTAATGATCCATTAGTGTCTCTCCAGTATCACAGCAGCTTCCAGTGGCTAACACAACCTCAGGACTGTAATAAACTCAGAGTGCTGTGCTCTTCGATTTTACCTGGCTAAGTGTTGGACCACTGCAATAGAAAAGAGAAACTGCCTTATATTTTTCTGACAAAAATGAAGAGTATCGTAAATCTATGAGAGATCCTGTTTTGATATATATAGATATAGATACAGATATATGAAGATATAGAAATATAGATATAGATATAGATATATAGATATAGATATAGATATGCTCCCAAACACAGGAGTATGTAATGTATATAAAAGTCAGCATCAGCGCTGTTTCTCTTATTACATGCAATTTCCATTTGAATTCTGTAAGTGAATGCACCAATCGGTAATCTCTGTGATCTGAGAGTTTCTGTGCCTTGTAAAACATATGTAAAACTCAAAAGCTACACTTTGGTCTGTGCTTTCACCTTTCTCAACTTGCCGGGCTTTTTCACAGCTCAACAGTTTTGTCAGAAGAGCTGAGGCGAGGTCACACAGTTGTGCTGCATCAGGTTAGCTTTTGCTCACAGACTAGCTGAATCCCTAAGCTGAGTATTACAAAATCAAAGTGAATACAAAAATCAGCACGTCGAGATGAAGGTCCAGTCAGTTGTCTTTGCTTATTAGAATATGGAGAACAGAAGAGGGCAGAAAGATGGTATCAGCAAAGGAAGAAGTGTAACTTCAAGGATTTAGCATGATTACTTATGAATTAATTAATACTTCCTTAATAGTAATTAAAGCCAATTAATTTGTACTTGAAATAATCTTGTATAGAAATATAATCTAAATTAAGACAAATAGCCCGAGTCACTGCTGTTGTAATGTGAACAAAACACTCACTTTCCAATGTTGCAAGGTCTCTTGATGGATGCTTGCACCGTTTTCCAGACTGACACTTCTGCTCATTTCAAGTATATTCTCCAAAATATAATTTTAAATTAATCCTTGCTCTTAGTCTTGAGGGGGTTTCTGTGAGCATCACAGTGCTCTTCAAATTTAGAATATAATCTTTAAATGGGTTTTAAGTATACATCCTTAGGATTTTTACAGAGTGATTGCTCAATTGCAGCGTCTGCGTTCTGAGTTCAGATTTCTGACCTGTGTAGGTTTCTATGATTCAATTTTTAGTTTCCCCATGTCTTGCACATGGATTATCTGTTTGATGCCTATTTTAGATCGGATTCTGTGCTAGTGTAGAAAGATCATGTAACACCACATTTGATGAAAGAACAAATATCTTCTATCAGCAGTTTATATATGGATGAAAGAAAAGGTTTTTTCTAACCATATCGTGAATACTTACAAACTTACAATTGCATGACTTTGTAGATGTATTGTTTATGTAGTCGTATCATTAATATAATGCAATAAGAGTTGGATTTCTTTTTGTCTGGGATCGCTCTTTTTCTGTTTTCTCTTTCCATCTTTGTCCTTTCAGTCCAGACTTTCTTTGCGAACTGTTACAGAAACACTTGTGATAACTGTTGGTAATAATTGCACTCATGTGCTGTGAAAATTCAGTGTCCAGTAGCCGTAATTATGACAGTAAGAACTCTTAGGTAGTAGGGTTACCTAATTGACTAGAACCATTCTCAAACTGTAATATTTGCTTTATTAGGCTGATCCTGTTGAGACATAGGGGGAAATGTAGTCTTTCTACAGCTAACACACGTAACTGATATTATGAATATTTCACTGCTTTGCTAGTTATGTATTCACTCATCTTAAGCTTCAGTTTTATTTTTATAGTACCAGAAGAATAAATAATATATTAATTAAAAGGGGTTAACTGAAAAGTAGCTTAATTTGAATGACTGATAGTTCTTACTCTGAAATAGCTTCCATAATTCTTTGTTTCCTCATCTTTGAATTTCTGTTGCTTTCCTATCAATGGAAATCAATGTAAATTTTCTTATTTTGCAGTTTGGGGGAGGAAAAAAACCTTTGGCATAATGATAAAGTTGCCCTTCTCCCAGTGCTTAAAAATGAGAATGCCTCTAAACAGATTTTTTTAAATGGACACAGATGGCAGGATTGTGAAATTTGGCATAAACTTTATCTTCTTTATTGAGAACTGGTAGTTAGAGGAATGTAAAGAAGCTCATGGGATGTTATAAATTTGTTTCTGAGCATGTTAGGTCAACGGTTGGACGTTGATCTCAGAGGTCTGTTCCAACCTAGTGATCCTATGATTCTATGACTCTGTGTCTGAAGGACATCTGCTCAGGTTGTAAGGGAGGTGAACAAAGCTCCACCCATTCAGTGATCACTGGACACTCTGCACGTGTAGCTGTCTGCTTTCAGGCAGTTGTTCCCCCTCGCACATGGGGGATTTGTGAACGTCTCCATGAATTACATGAAGCAATATCTTCCGGGAAATCTCAAGAGGCAGAAAATTGCAGGTTAATGTCATTTTGAGACATTTAGCAATTTTTGTTGAATTTATATTATCAATATTCTTCTAAACAACAACAAAAAAACCCCAAACCCCTCAGCCCTACATAGCTTGGAAATACCAGTGCTGGACAGAAAGACAAACAGAATATACAGCAGATATCTGCACTGGCTTCGTATTACCATGAATAAATCTATACAAGCAGGGAATCAAAGCAAAAAGATGGCAACTCTGCACCACCATCCCTGCAGTTACATGTGTTCAACTACCTCAGTATTTGCTTTCAAATACAACAGATATTTATTGATTAAATGCCAACTCCAAAAACACATACTGAATATAACCTAAAAAAGGTTGGTCAGATAAAATCAGTTAGACACAAAGGAGCAAATTGATATACGTAAAAAAAATGTAGGTTTTATTTATTTCCTCTGTAGTGGTGACTGAAAGAGTCCCAGCTAGTCTCATCACTGGAGAGCTATAAAGAAATGTAAATTAATGTAGAAAAAGGAGGACACTGTCGGATATTGCTAATAAGTTTAAAGCGTAGAGTTTGTGAGTTTAAAATATGGAATTTGTTCATTTTTTCGGTCCAATAACAGTCACACTCTCAATGAAAACAAATCCAGAATATCAGTCTGTGATAGCAGCACTTTTTGAAAATGTGTCTTTTTTTTTTTTTTTCCTTTTTTTGGTTAAAGAATCAGTATATGTAAGGTAGTAGCTATCAGTGTGAGGTGATGTGATGAACAAATGTGACATATGTGGAACTCAGCATCTTTGATCTTTGTGGGTACATTGGGTATACAGTAGTAGTCCAGGGACGTGTAGACTGTTATGGTGCAGTCATTCAATTTCTATCTAAATTACTCTGCAAAAGTGCCAGATTTGCATTAGCCTGAGGCAAAAAAAGAATATTATGTAGTGTCACTTTCCTTCCCCTTTAGCCAGTCAGATTTCATATTTCTATGGAGGCACTTAACCCATAAATTTGTCCATCTTAGCCTCCAAATGATTATTTACCGCATGGGGGTAGGTCAATGTCTAAGTCCCTATAATGGAGAATTGTCAGGCACTTTAGCAGAATTACATCAAACTATTAAAATTATTGCTGTTTGAATAGTGGTTCATTCCGGGGTATGTGTTTGTGAGGTGTGCTTTTGTTTCATGTTTAATCTTTTTGTTTTCACTTCCAGGAGCTGGAGTTTTCCAACCTGTTTGCAGTCCTTCACTGTATCCACTCATTCTTTGCAGCCAAAGTGGCTTGTTTGGACCCTTTGTATGTAGGCAGCCAAGCCACAACTTCTGCTGCTCCCACAACTTCTGGTACTGGCAAATTAAAGTATACTACTTGACATCTCACATTACAGCACTGCCACTTAACAGCAAGACATAACAATGTATAAATATTCATAAGATGTAGACCTTTGGCGAACCATGTATGTGGAAACCAATCCTGGAGGCAAGACATCTTGCAGCATCAGCAGATAAATGGTCACGTGGGATCATAAATTCATCTCTGTTCTGCAAGACATCAGTAAATAATCCTAGTCGAAATCCCAAAATAGGATGGATATGCTTTTAGTATGATCTGTTTGTACTTACATAGTGCTTTAAGCAACACTGGAAGCAAAGGAATAAATGACAAAATGAAGCACTTCAGTATTTAATAAAATTTTCAAATTACTGTAATAATAAACAAATAGAATTGTCATTTTCCTGTTTTAAGATGTTTTTAATGACAATATACTAAACTGAGTATGAACTTATACCCTATCATTATATTATAAATGACATAAGAGCAAGCAACAAGCATATAATACATGGTGAGAAGGAGATAAGCATGAAAAGGCATTTGTGTAAGTATCTCCTCAAATAAGAAAGCACTTTAAGCACTGTTGTAAATCCATACTTGTGTCCATACATGAAATCATGCTACTTTTTCTATTTTGTTCTTTTAGTCTAACAATAACAAAAACAAAGATATAGCCATATTGGACTGATACATTAAGAAAAAACCAAAACCAACCCACACATGAAAAGCAAAACAACTTCCCATGAGTAAGTCCCTCTTCTTCAAGTGAAAATAATATGATATGAATTTAATTTTAAGTACAAATGCGTAAACTATCATGTCTGCTATTTACTTCCTTTTTTTTTTTTTTCTGTCAAGAATTAAATCCTGTAAATCTGGTAGTCTTTGTTCGCAAGACTTAGCTGTTGAACTTGTTTCAGAGACAATCCACCTCATATGTTGTTTCCATGTTTAACCTTGATTTCGCATCATAAGTAGAACCTCTGTTCCACTCAAGCTCTCAACAAAATAGACATTCTACATTATGCTTGACAAATGAGTCCACCCTCTGAATTCTTAATAATTTCTTTTTTTTCATATTGTTAGTAAAAGACAGGAATAAGTTAATAACCTGTAAAGAATAGATGACAAAATGCATAATGTCTTTGTATGTTAAGAATATTAATTACATCACTCTCGACCACATACTAGTTCCAGAGTATCATTTAATGATGAAATCTGAGGGAGTTGTAAATTTAACTTTAATAACTTTATTTAAATATCATTTTTCAAAGTAAATTAATTTTGGGCTATTACACACATCGCTGAAGATGGAAGAGTGGTGGGAGCATGTGTGGGGTATAGCTGAAACAAAAGAAAAGGTGAGGGATTTTTTTTTGCCAGACAGGATAAGAGCACCTAAAAAACTGCAGGAAGAACAGTTACTGCAGCTACAGTGTGTGCACAACATTTTAAGTGGTACTTTATGGGGTTTCTGTTTCTTATATTGAAATCAAAACTTCCTTTTTTTCCACTTAGATTTGTTAGAAAAGCACATAGCGGGTAAGAGTTACGGACACCATCTGCCTTGTTTAGCAGAAAGACTAATTCAGGCACATCCTTGTCTACATGTTAAAATAATTAAAACTTCAAAAGTGAAGCCAGAGGAAAGTTTTTCAAAATGGGAACAATTCAAAATGCAAGGCAGAGACAAAAGATGAGTGAACTGTAGGGGCAAATCATGCCTCTGGTTTTTTGCTTTGCATTAGGGGTATTTGGGTTTATGTGTGTGAGAGTATCCTTGCCTTGAAGTATAGCTGATCTCACTTGATACTAGTTCCAGATACTCTGAAAATATGTTTTCTAGGGACACTTTTATCACTTTCAAATGTCTTTCAGTACATACTTGTTTCCTATTAGCACACCTCCAAGGGTCACACATTTATTTTCTAGGCTAAATACCATGGAATGATGTCAGAATCCAGCTATTAAATGCTTTAAGTGTCATCAAAATGCAACATTTTCATAGTCATCATCATGTGTTTGTTTATATGAATTGTCCCTAAGTAAGGGGGTCACATCCTGGTCTCTGAATGACACATAGAACTACCATGACTGTCCATGGGATCTTGAGTTTGTTCTTGAGACAGTACAAACCCCAGAAATTCTGAAGCCAAAGCTACAACAGTCTGAGGGGTTTAACGATGGTAACTCAGTCACTGTCCTTGTCAAGAAAGCATATACTGGAAACACAGATTTTGACAGAGCACTGACAGCGCTGAAAACAGAAGCCCACTATCTGTTAATGACAGTTCTCCTCCGTGCTCCCAAATCATCACCTTCCCTCTTGCGCGTTGCTGTGGCATTCAGCTATCACAGTGTTGGCATGTGCTGGCGCCTCAGTAAACGCTCTGCTGGTAGCAGCAGAATCTAAATCTAATCAGCTGCCAGTTGAACGTTTTTCCTTCAACGGTTCATGTTATGTGCAGAGTTGTACCACTGAAACTGAGAGTTGTTTAAGGGACGATGTTTAGTGTGCTTAAATGAACATAACATCTACCCAAACCCACAGAAAATACGTCGTTGCAAATTGCAGGAGGTTAAGGGATTCCCTGATATGAAAGCCTCTCAAAGAAATTTTTACAAAAATGCTCCTTGTGCAGAACTGAGCTAATGACATGAACTTTTGGGACTCCACCAGGGTATCCAAAAGACCTCTGTCAAGATTTCTGTTTGTAGAACTGCTGTATTCGTCCATGAGACTTTTGTAACTGGGCATTAAATATACAACCCCTAAGAGACAAACATTAACCTGTAAATGTGGTGGGGGTTTTTTAGGTTTTCTAACCCCCTGTATTTCAAAGAGCTAAACTGGTGGGGATTAATCAATACTTTTCTTTTCAAAGAGATAAAAGTGATATGTAGAATAGTGATATAAAAGAATATAAAACGCCACAGCCTTGACTGCAGGTCAGTGTTGGTTTGTAAATGCAGCAGGGGTTTGGGCACTGACCTCACAGAATATTCAGAGGTGACTCTGCATCCAGGCTTGCCCTTTTAAAGCAAGCTGGTCAGAAATTCAGTCTTGAACCGAAGAAGGAAAACTTTAAACTCTGTCTTATTAGTAATCATGAAACAGCAACATATAATTTCAAACATATTAAATGGCTATATTTTTCTTTTAAATACCTACAGGAGATTCCCATTTAAAGCATAGTGAACTTCATACACATATGTCAAAACCCAGGCCGTATGTTGTAGCCTCTCATTTCACACGTAGTGTATAATGAATACAAGTATTTTGTAAGTCAACACAGCCCAGTGACAATAAAACACAATTATAATGAGCTATGAGCTTTTGCTAAAAATCTGTATGCAAGTGAAAGCAAATATTTTAACAAAAAAAGAGCAAACCAACAAACCCATAGCATAAAATGTAATTTGTTCTCTTTATGTCATGATATTCTTAAATAAGTTTCAATTAAAAAAATTCTTTATAGTATTGTGCCTATTGAAGTGATGTTATATAGTATACCAAAAATATGTACTCTTAAGTATAACTAAATATATTTGGTTTGATTTGCCTTGTTTTATGATGGAAATTTTAGATGACCCGACCTTCACAGAACTAACTATATGTTAGGTTATAGTGTTAGCATAATGTTATTATGAAAGTGTTACCGATTTGAATACATGTTCCTCTGGATTTCATCAGTGAATGAATACGTTTTATTTCCTACATCTGTTTAAAAATACCGTTCCAGATTTTCAAGAGAGCTTTGCATTCCAGTAGTTCGAAGACACCTTTGAAATAAAAGTCAGCATATTTTTAAATGTTGACCGTTTTATTTTGTTAATGAAGTGCAGCAAGAAGTTTGTGGAGACAAACTAGTTGTAAGTGGGTTATTTTTTAAATCCAGTGATTTGAAGTTTTGTCTATTCAAACTAGAATTCATAAGAATACAAACCAATAATATACAGTATCAATATGCTTTGAGATGAGAATCATGAAAAATATTATTTTCCGCATTAATCCTTGATTCCTCAAAAATATATGTATTTAGTTTTTACGTGTAGACTTTATCAGAACCCCTCAAAGTGGACAGTTGAACATGAGTAGGTATTTGTTAATACCGCAGCCTATTACTTTAAATGTGATTTGGTTTAGTTAATGCCTTAAGATGTTTCTTACATCAAACAAAATATTAAAAAGGCTGAAGATCTTGTGAATATACAGTTGCTGCCCTTAAAAATTCAGCAGCTTTGCTACATATTGCCTAAGTACCCTTGAGTATTCCCTATGCCAATAACAAATACCAGTTTTTATTCTGGTATGGAAATTCCAAGGAACCTTTTGGAAAATTTTATTAATATTAATCTCTAATCCTTGTTTTGCACTTTCC